TTCGCGGACTGAAAGCACGCCTAGATCAAGCTAAAGGACTGTGGGAAGACGAGCTACCCAGCGTTTTATGGGCCTACCGAACGACAGAGAAGACCGCCACAGGAGAAACTCCCTTCAACCTCACCTATGGCACCGAAGCAGTCATCCCAGTTGAAATTGAGATTCCCTCGTTACGACTAGAAGCATACGACGTTAAGGAAAATGAAGACGAGCTACGTACCAACCTCGATCTACTCGATGAAATAAGGGACCTCGCATATATCAGGACTGCAGCTTACCAACAAAGAGTAGCTCGGTACTATAACGCCAGGGTCAAGAAGCGGAACCTCCATGTTGGCGACCTGGTCCTTCGGAAAGTTATGGTACCTGAGCCCGACGTTGGCAAGCTCGGACCGAATTGGGAAGGACCTTACCAAGTGAAACGAGTTCTCGGGGAAGGAATATACGAGCTCGAGACCCTCGAAGGGAAACAAGCACCTCGGGCATGGAATATTGTCAACTTAAGGTGATATTACCTATAACTATTGAGTATACCATGAGTCACTCCCAGAGCCTAAGGGCCAAAATGCCAAGCTAACACGACCTCGGCGTGATGAGACCCAGTTGCCTCTATGGCATGGGCGAACTACTGAGTAGACCATGAGTCACTCCCAGAGCCTAAGAGCCAAAATGCTGAGCTAACATGACCTCGAAGCAACAAGACCCAATCGCCTCCACAGCATGGGCAAACTTCAAGGGCAGACTAAGTCACCCCCTCAGCCTAAGGGCTACAACACAGAGCTAACAAAAGAACTCAGCACCAGGAAAGACAGTTGCTTCAGTGACGAAGGCAAAGTATGAAATATCAGAGGCATTAGCAGCTCGAGTCCAAACCCCACGAAGCATGGCTCGTCTCGGCACATTGGTTGAACCAAAGTATAGGCAACAAACGTGCAGTTCGAGCACACATGGTGACCACTCCGCGTTATACTATAGGGAGGCCTTAAACATAACTACCGAAAGGTCTTATTGTAGGCATATAGCCTTAACAGCTCAAAGTGATGAGATCGCTTTCGCAAAAACAAAAAGAGCAAACCTTACTTGGAAGAAAAAGGAAATTTCATTACTGTCTCAAAAAAAAAACAAACAAAACAACAACCGAGCTAAAAAGCTCAAAAAAGTCTGATAGAAAATAAAAGGGCACAACCGCCCAGCAAAAGATCCTTTCAAGACCAGGTTTATGGCACCCTGGAGCCACCAGAAGTCAAAGCAGATGATCAAATGCCGCCGAAGCCTTAGGGATCGGCCTCCTCGTCCTCATCCTCCAGAGAGTCAGCCTCCTCTTCCTCCGCCTGGTCCGCCATCTCGGGAGACAGGCCCTTCATAGTGATGCCGTCGAGGTTGAGTCCAGAGAATTTCTTCCGGACCAACCACTGACAGAGCTTGAACCCGAAGCGGTACGAACTTGAGCCATACTCTACCTAGAGGTCATGATATTCCTGGGAGTCTTTGATGTCTCAGACCGCCTTCTCTCGCTCGGCCTCAACCATGTTGTCGAAGTTCCGAGTTCGGTCCAGAAGAGTGGACTCCATGTCCCGAACCTGTTGGCGAAGGAGCTCCCTCTCCGCTGCCACCCTCGACGACTCCTCCCTGTAGCATGCACTCTCTTCAGAAAGCCTGGCAATCTGCGCCTCTTGGTCTCGGACGAGCAGCTCCTGGGACTCGCTCCCCTTGCGAGTGTGAAGGAGCTCGCCCCGAGTCCGGTCGAGCTCGCCCTGGAGCTTCTGAATGTTGACCTTCTTGTTACGAGCGTCGTAGGAGTGGACATGCTTGGTCTCGGACGATCAGCTCCTGGGACTCGCTCCCCTTGCGAGTGTGAAGGAGCTTGCCCCGAGTCCGGTCAAGCTCGCCCTGGAGCTTCTGAATGTTGACCTTCTTGTCACGATCGTCGCAGGAGTGGACATGCATTTGGAGGGCCATGGCGTGTATGGTGGTGTTTACTTTTCAACAAGAGACTGAAGTCAAAGGACAGCAAAAAGGAAGGAAAGACGAAGGAGAAGAGAAGGATCACTTACCATCATACAGTGAGATGCGGCAAGCGCGACAAGATCCCCAGGCTCCATCGCCCCCCACTTAGCAACCTCTTCGTTGCAGATCACTCTCCGGCTCCTCCGACGAGCCACAACGAAGTCATTTATGCCCTCCCAGTTCCCCACTAGGAGCCACGAGTAGGGAAACGACTGAGAAGGACCAGGGGGACCACCCCTTGCTGCGGGAGCTCACCCTCCTCGAGGCTGGCCCCGCCAACACCTCCTTTGGATGGAGGTGGCGGAACTTCGGGTGGCGGAGAGGTGAAGCCTGGCTCAACAGACCCGAACTCGGTACCCCCAGAGGGGGGAGTCTGGTCGGGGCGCGACCTCTTCACTTTGCGCTTCTAGTTGCTTGAAAGGAGACGGCGCGAGTCAACACCAAACATAATGGCTGCCAAGAAGAAACCATAAGGCACTAGTTCGGTAAGAACAAAGTATATGTATATACACAATGTTGTGACAAGATACTATGCGACCTAAAGAGGCAACCTACCCGGGCTCAGGCCGGCCTGCACGAGCTTCTCCTCGGTCAATTAGTCCGAATAGAGGAAGCCTACTGATGCCCAGGACAGCATCATTTTTTGAGTTTCAGAGTCCAGCTCGACCCCGAAGTCCTGGACGATGCCCCTCCAAGAAGTAGGGAAGGGCCACCCCTCGGGGTTGCGGACCAAAAATTAATCCCGCTTCCAGGTGGGAATTTTATTCGGTAGCTCGTGTAAGAGCTTGTAGCCACGGCGGGGGGAGAGGTAGTAAAGACGCATCTCCGGTGGAGCCCCGGGGGTGGCATTCTTTATACAAAGAATAGCAGAAAAGATGTCAAAGTCTAAAGGAAGATAGTATTCACAACACAAGGATATAGTCCCAACCTTGTTCCGAAGGGTGTTGGGATGAAGCTGATCGATAGTGACGTTAAAATGGTTTAGCACCTCCACTATCAAGGGGTGCAGGGGGAGATGCAGGCCAGCCTCGAGCTGCTCCTGGTAGATGACTATCTCGTTGGGGCCGTGCTCCCACGAGAAGTTACCGGTGGGAAGGCAGTAGACAAGGTCCCCAGGAAGGTGGAAATAGCTGATTAGAGACCTAAGTCTCCCTGCTGTCATAGAGGAAGGGCCGAAAGTATCCGGCTCCCATCCCCAAGAAGTGGAGGCTCCATCACCGGAGGTCTCCCGAACCCCCGGGACATGTTCCCAAGCTCCCCCCGAGCCCGAGGGAACATCATCATCCTAGCCACCGCCCGGTGGTCAATATGGTACGGGTACCCAAACATGATTGACAGTGATCAAGACTCACCGGAAAAGACGGGACGAAGTAAACTGAGGAACTCGAGTAGACATGACAGATGCGCGACCTCAGAATCCGAAGACAGCAAGATGGCCTGAGAGAAAGTGAGACCTAGAGGGCCCTCCTATTTATAGTCTTCGTACCTCTGAGAGCAAGACTCACCGCACGCCTTTTGAAATCGAAAAGTGATTGGCTGCACGTCTCCCATGATTGAGGTAACGACGGCTGCACAACATCCAGAGTTAAGATCCCCCTCAGCACGTTTTCGGAATACGAAAGGCACATGGACCTGACTCAGCACGGGCAACAGCTCAGCATCATAGCCTGATCACGGCAACGAGCCCATAGAGCAACTCGCTATATCATAGTTCGCTGTAGGAGAAGCCCGCTACAACACAAGCTCCGGGTCCCCCGAGCTACCCAAAAGGGGATACTCCAAGATTGCTTCAGCTCGCATGCTAGGGAAACCAGCTCGCTCCAACCCCCAAGCGGATAAGTCACCCCAGAGAACAACCTTAGTAAGGGTAACCCCGAAATATTCCTAAGCTCGCTACAAAGTAGCTCGCGAATGAGCGGCGTAGACGTTTCTCAGGAAGCTTCTACCCAACAAACCGTACTGATCAGTCTGCGCCACGTCTCTTGACTGACGACGCAGTCCCTGTCCTTTCGATAGTCTGCACCCACGTCTCTCAGCAGGCGGAGGCATGCCTGCCCCTTTAAGACGTGTCACTCATCCGAACAAGAGGTACGTTGCAATGATCACCTGTGCAGCCCTGGCAGGTAACGGCTGCGGCAGGGGCCCAGTGACGGTTACGCCCGATTTGACAAGAACTCCCCTATAAAAGCCCTTGAGGCAAAGGAGAAGAGAGAGATTTTTTCTCAAACTTTGGAATACTTCCGCACTCTCATATTCTCAACCTGAGTCTTTACTTGCTCGCGTGCTAATCTCTCGAGCACATTGATAAAGCGCGACTTATACTCTTAGCTTTCGCACTCTTTTTTCTCCTTCCCCAACGTTCTGACTTAAGCTTCAGAGTATTCCCACTGGGTAAATCCCCGGGAATCATTCTTTTCATCTTTTCAGGTGTCGTCTGTTGTTAACAAGGAGCTAGTCAGCAGCCAACTAGGAATACCCGGATCGTGCCACATCAGAGGGGATGCAGAGATGGTGGAGATGGAAGGGATGTTATTAGTTGTGAAGGTGGCTAATCGGATTCAACGATGAAATATGCTTATTCACGGTGATTGTCTATCCGTCATCAATATTATGAAGTCAAAAGATCCAATTGCTCCATGGCGATGGAAACATCTTCTTTTGGATGCCCGGCAAATAGTATCGGGTTTACATTATGTTTCTTTCTCTCATGTTAAGAGACAATTTAATGGATTAGCTCATGCCTTGGCTGCATGGTGCTATGGGTCGAACATTGAAGATGAATGGGTTTCGAACCCACCACTTTGTATTCAAAGTTTTTTAAGTAATTAAGCAAATTTCTGAAGAAAAAAAAAAAAAAAAAAAAAAAACTGAGAGAATTGAGTAAATTGACCCTACCAAAGAGCTAGGCAAGTCGTCTGTCAAAAGAAAACTGTTTGGGAGATCTCCTTTTTAAGATGGACTTGGACCCAATAAAACCCATAAAAACCTCTGCGTGTTTTTTAAATAGCTGTTTTTCTTTAGTTAAAAGCAGGGGAAAAAATACAAAAAGCAATAAGCATGGAAGCCAAAAGTCCTCACCAAACACAACACAAAAGTATATTCTATGATCTATGAGGTACAAGTTCTATACCAAATGAAAGAAAAATGAAAAATCAACCAAAAAAAAAACATGGTGGAAACTGGGAAATCCTTTCCCGGTCGGCCTCTCGTATCACGGAAACATCTATACAAGGACTGATTCAATAGAGTTCGCCTCTCGCTGCCGGAAAAGCATGTCTCGGCAACGGACTCGCACGCGGTGATCGGGGTGGTATCTCGTTAAGCAGCTTGCCGTTGGTATCGTAATAGATAACACCCGAGAAATCGGGCGGCTGACACTTCTCGCCCATCAAGATCGTTCTCTGCCACAACCCACCATCTCCGAATTCTCCATCTTTCGCTCCAGCGCCCGTTTCTGATTCCTCGCTAACTCTCTTCTTGTGGCGGAACGGAATAGCCTTGTTACTGAAAGTCGTCAGGAGCTGCTTCGGCGTTGCTAACGGCGACTTAGACGCGATTCTTAGGCTGCTGCTGCTCTCCGTTTTGAACTTTCTTGAAACACGGCTGGCCTGCTTCGCGCACAGAGCTATGAGAGCTGATACAGAGACGAGTAAGCGTTTTCTTGTTGCTTGGGCTCGTTCCCCTTCACGCGCCATGGTTTCGTCGTGTCTCAGGCTCAGCTTTCAGCTTAATTACCTTACCTGTTTTTCAGTTATGTGGACAAATGTGGGCAACTCAGATTGATTCTCTGCGAATGACGAAGTTGGTCTATTTATAGGACCAGACCAGGTAGCAAGGACTGAGGTGAACTGGGTCTGGATGACCGGAAACCGGAAAAGCTTGTGATCCCTGGTACATGTAACTTGCTTGGAAATTTTTCTGGATCTTACGTGGCGCGTTCGTATTGGAGGGTTCAGCAGATGCGCGTTCACTCAGGGATCATGGTGGGACTGCCTCCCACTGGGAAAGGTAAAAAGGAATTTAATAATAAGGAGATTGGCAAAGCCGAGAAATGGTCAGTAACTTGGATGATAAGTTCGACAAATGGAACTCTTTAGACCAACGAGGATCCTCATTGGATGGCCAGGATCAACCAGCGGGGCCCACCTACATTTGGGCGGTTGTCACGCTTCAATGGATTTTTAGTGGTTGGGTCAACGCAAAGATGTAGTGATACACGCCAAGAGGAAGCTTGACTCCTTTTTCTAATGAGTTGGACTGATTTGGACACACCCCATTTTTGATAATCGGAGGCTCTGAGCACATTTGTCAAAATAAAACTAACCTTTGGATAGGAGGGTTTATTATATGGTTCATACGGTCGAACCGGATCAAATCAAATTGAAATTGATGATTTGGGATTATTATTATTATTATTATTATTATTATTATTATTATTATTATTATTATTATTAAAGCTGAACCATCCAAACAGTATTAGAATTATGGTTTGGTCTAATTTGATTTTTCTATTAAAATGATTTGGTTTAAGACCAGACTTAATCAAACTAGTTTTTATTTTTAATTGGATTTTTCTGGTAACTATTTTTTTTTTTTTAATTGGACTTGACTGACTTGCATTTTGGGTGCTTCTTATCTATTGGGGTCCCACCAAAAAAATAGGAACAGTTCATTACTTCCCTTCTCCTTCCTGTTCATCCAAAACGTGGTTCATTTAGTAATCAACCTGACTAGTACGAATATTCCCTTGACATGTGGCGCGAGCTAATCACGAACGTCAACTAGTCTAATTCCGCCCTCGAAAATCTGTTGACACGAGGGCCCAATCTGATTGGCTGACTGTGACCACCAACCCATGTTGGTTTCGGGTGGGTTGGTATTGGTGTTTATCCAATCTTCTATCTAGCTATATGCTGGCCGCGTGCACTGGACAGTTATGGTCCCACTCATCCAACTCATTGTTCCACATTCTTCGGGCCGGGTTATGCTTGGTGCAGTGGTATCAATCCATTTTGTTTTGATCCAACTCAGCTCCCACTAGGAGCAAAAGATAAAGATCCAGTAACCAAACCGATTTGATCATCAGTGCATGCCTGCTGATGAGGATGGGAATTGTTCTTGTTCCTTCTTCTTATGGCATGATTCATGGACCCAAATATAGTATGTCGTCGTTTTTCATGCAGATCAGTGTACGGGTACATGTCTGCTTTTAGGGTTCATCCAGTTTCAAATGGGTCGGTTGAGATTTGAGAAACCAATTAACCAGGTGGGTTATTGGGAGCTAAAGCTTCATTGACCCGATTTTACAGCCAAAAGTGGGATAGGTCAAGCAAGTTAGGAATCCGGCCAAAAATCGCAGCTTTAAATTGTCGATATTTGAAAATGTTTTCCTTCTCTAGTTTATTGGAAGGTAGCCTTCCATTCACAATGTATTATAGAAAAAAATGGTTGGTAGAAACCGGTGTATGAAACGAAGCCATTTTCTCCAAGCTCTAGGTCAACTAACCCGTTTAACACTCAATAAGAAAAACCCAGATACCCAGAATCAAAGTTTCTGGAATAATAGATTGTTTACCAATGTAGTGTGAGGAGAAGAGAACGGCAAGGATGTGATGTTAGAGTTGACCGAAATTATCGCTGCTTTATGGTTTCAACGTCTCATTATAACAAAAGAGTAAACGGTGTGGTTTACCCATTTGATACAAATGAAAGCCAGTGCGATACGTATTCCCGTCATTGAAAGCCGGTGAGGTCCAGTCGGGACTAGAGCTGTAAATAGGTCTGGTCTATCTCCTAGAACCGAATCAACTGTAGTGGTTTTGTCCCGTTTAGTAATTGGGTTGGGACTTGTTCTCAATCGATTATATGGATGATAATATAAAGAGCCCCTGGTTTTTATAAATTTTTCGTTAATTTTATGTTTAAAAGATAAATTTTATAAACAATATATGAGATAATGGTAATTAAAATGTAAATAGTTCCGTTATTTAATGTTTAAGTTTTATTAAAGTTATAGGGAAAATTCTTGATTAGTATTCTGCACTTTGCGTCTAGTGCCACTTTGGTCCTCGAACTTTAAAGCGTGACAATTCATTGCTAGGACTTTCAAAACGTGCAAATCCAATGTTTGTCATTAATCAATTGTTAAGCAGTCCATTAAGTGGCATTTGAAAAGACACAAATACCCTTCAAGTGCCATCTAACTTTTTATTTTTATCAACCATTCAAATGTTGACAAAAAAAAAGAACAGTCCCAAATCCTTACATCTTCTATTTAATAAAATTGGGTCACCAGATCTAATGCCCAATGTTTGGATGATTGATAAACAAAATTAGATGACAAAGGACATTTATATCTTTTCAAATGCCACCTTAACATTTGATTAATAAGACTGTAAATACTGGGTTGGCACGTTTTAAAAGTGGCAGTAGACCCAAAATATAAGGTACTAATCAGTAATTTTGTCAAGTTACATTATCAAAGTCAAGTTCTAAATTATTATTACCATTGATAATTAAAGATATCAGTACTTGTATATTTCTTTTCATAGAGATATTCCCCGCAATGGGACTGGACCCCTGTCCCAAACCAGACCCGACTAAGCGACAAGCCCTAGTTGGGGTCCAAACCCAAAGGTCATTTGAGAAAAGAGAGAATGGGTGTGTGGTTTGGCAGGCATTGACTGTGAGGAGCGAGGACCCCCTGAATTCACTCGTCTGCATGCCTGAATGATCTTTCGATGATTCTTCTAATTAATAGTCTTCTTGACTGAAAAATCCGAATCCGAGTTCATCGTTAACCCATTTTACCAGAAAAGCGACACAACTTGAAATAAAAGTTCCACTTTCCAAAATATATAAAGTCAACATTCAATGGCGTCCGAGTCTAGTTGGGAATGTTGTGATTTCTACCAAGTGTTTTGACTTCAACCTATAAATCATTTCTATTCGGCTCCTTTTCAAAATAAAAATCAAGAGCCCCAAAGCTGGGCCAACACCCCGGGCCATGAAGGTGGATGAGCCCAAAAAGGCAAAATGGATATCAGAGGATCTCAGCCACAAAGAACGAGTATCAGCCCAAACGTGGCCGAACCGAGATACAACTTTTCAGGCAAACGAACCGCTTCAATATTACTCATAAATGTTACAACTGTGCCTTGGTCCAACCGTCCAAAGACAGAGTGGAATCTGTCCTAACCACGATTATAATTAATTGGGACAGAAAATTCAGAACCAGAACTGGCACTGGTATAATTGGTAATTTGGTACAGTTGGGTTGCTCTCTATACTTCTATCAAGTAGACCTGAGTCATTGACAGTTCTAATTAATATTGAGGAATCCGCTTGTAATATATATTTCATTAATTGTTCACATTGAATTTATTCATTATTGTTTATTTATTCGTGCGTACAAAGTATAAATGAGATGGTGGATGCCGATATTTTTGAATTTGGACCTTGGCAAAATATGTAATTTGAATTAATATTAATTTTTACTTCATTCAATTCTCTCTAAGTAAATCTTATATTTATAAGGTATTAATTATATTTTCTATAAAATTCCTGATCTTATAATAAAAAGACATTTATATCCCCTTTGAGCTTCAATTTCAATTTGCCGGTATATTATTTGGTGGTCAATTGCAGGAGCTTACGAATATAGGTTTTTCAATTTGTGATAGTGGACCTCATGTTCATCCTATCACTGATCCCACTTATCTATCAACAGGTTTAATGTACCAAGGAAAAAATTTTTTTTGTTTGACATTTCTTTCTCTCTCTCTACATTTTTATCTCTCTATCTCTATACATTTTTATCTTATTGTAATGTAATGTTGTGTTTTCTTCTCTTAGACAAAGGTACAAGCAATCTACAAGTGCTGCATTGACTCTAGGAGAGGACAATGTTTGGAAAGAAACAGTTACACCATTGTCATTGTTATTCTTGACCAAGTGAACTTTCTTGTTTTTGCATACAGGGCCCTACTAACAAGAAAAAGCATGACTAGATAACGCCCATTGATTTCGTAGTTTTACCATTTCTTCTTCTTCCTTTCTTTCTTTTTTATTCCGAGTTAAGATTAAAAGAAATCACTTTAAGCTATAAATCTGAAAAATAAAAATAATGCTTTCACCACCGAGCATATAATAGAGGAGGCTAGCGCTATGCACTTGTGTAAGTATTATCCGCTATTAGTCAAGCGGGAAAGGCTGTCCTCATTCATTCAATTCTTCAATCAGTTCCCTTGCATGCAATGTCTCTAATCAAATTCCCCTAGAAAACTATTGATATCATTGAGAAAACTATTTGCAATTTCTGGTGGGGAGTTTCAAACAAAAACAAACACCCCCTTAGATGGTGTTCTTGGAATTCTCTTTCCCTTCCTAAAGCTCATGGAGGCTTGGGCTTTAAAAGACTTAGGTTGATGAACCAAAGTCTCTTGAAGAATGTGGCTTGGAGATTCCTAAATGAAATAGACAAGTTATTGGCTCTTTGTTGGAAAGAAAAATATCTTAAAAATAATGATAGTTTCCCTTACTCCATTTCTACTTCAAGTTCTTTTTACTGGAAAGCCATTGGGCCCTATTTAAAAGATTTAGCCTCTGAATGTGGTCGACTGGTTAATGAAAATTCGTCTTTTCCTCTATCCCAGAGCCCTTGGATCCATTTGGAGGGTCAATTCAATTGGACCCTTCAGCCTTTACCCCCGCACCTCAATCATGCTTCTATTGATGCAGACCTCATTCAAGATAGGCACTGGAATTCAGAAGTTT